TGAGAATAGACTAGTCTGACATATAACTAATCTATTGTATATTGGATTTTGTTTGAACGGACACAATTAAGTCCGATAATAGCTGTAATGTTTTCTGATTTTGGGTTGTTGTCTTCCTCCTCTATTGTTTACTATACAGAAAAAAAACATACTTTATAAGAATGCAATGTAGCCTATTTGAAGAATATTTTTTACTTTTATTGGAATTGAAAGATATTTATAACTGAAAATCATGCTATTCATATTATAATTGATATAACAATCACAATTATAACAATTTATGACCATATCACAATTGTAAAGTGTACTTTATCGGGTGCATTAAGGTATACAGCTGTCTGTCTGTCCATCCACCTGTCGCTATGAGTAATCTTAATAATCTTAAGTTGTATGTTTGATTTCGTGAATGATATATCTCTTTGGTTTTTCACTGCATTGAAATAAAGAACTATGTATCCTGCGCTTTAAAACAGTTATTTATCTATTGTTTGGTGCTTATTGGTAGGTGTTTTGGTTAGAAGCCAGTATCGTTATAAGAATAATGAATTATAAATAAAAACTTTGGAAAGGCAAATACCCGACCAAATTGTAAAAAAACAACCCCATACCACCAATTAGCTTTCAACACAGCGAGAATTTCCGCACCCATAGTTGGGCTACTAGCAGTAAATAACATGCCAGCACTTGATTATATATCAATCAATTAGTTAAAATATGTATGTAGCAAACTAAATATTATAGAAATACCAGAAAAGTACAGAATACGGTTTTCCGATCTTGGAGAGGAGGTTGTGCCATATGATGGAACGCCTTTCATTATACAGGCAGAAAAGTAAACAGCTGCATCTTTGGGAAAGACAAACATGTAGCTGATAAAAAAATAGAAACAACAGGACAAAGCCAGCAATCTTGAGGTATGCTTAAGGGCGATCTATTGAATCAATACGGTCTACAGTCCTATGTTATAAGAACATTAAGTGTCTACTATAGAGCGATATATTGAATCCATATGGCGGTCTACAGGATCCCCTGTTATCTGAACATTGAGTGTCTACTATAGGGTGATCTTTTGAATCCATAGGGCGGTGTACAGGATCCCCTGTTGTCTGAAAATAATGTGTCTACTATAGGGCGATCTTTTGAATCCATAGAGCGGTCTACAAGATCCCCTGTTATCTGCACATTAAGTGTCTACTAAAAGGCGATCAATTGAATCCATAGGGCGGTCAACAGGATCCCCCGTTATATGAACATTAAGTGTATACTATTCGATGATATATTAAATCCATAGGGTGGTCTACATGATCCCCTGTTATCTGAACATTAAGTGTATATTATATGGCTATCTATTGAATCCATAAGGCGGTCTACAGTCCTCTGTTATCTGAACATTAAGTGTCTACTATAGGGTGATCTATTGAATCCATAGGGCGGTCTATAGTATTCCTTTTTATCTGAACATTAAGTGACTACTATAGGGTGATCTATTGAATCCATAGGGCGGTCTATAGTTTCCCTTTTTATCTGAACATTTAGTGTCTACTATAGAGCGATATATTGAATTCATAGGGCGGTTAACAGGATCCCCTGTTGTCTGAACATTATGTATAAAAAAGATGTGGTGTGATTGCATCATCATGTATCTATAATAGGGCGTTCTATCGGATCCCCTGCGAGGTCTATAGGACCACCTGTTGTTTAATAATCGTGTATCTGCTATAGGGCGTTTTATAGAATCCCCGGGGCAGTCTATAGGATCCCTTGTTGTTTGTTCATCATGTATATATAACAGGGCGTTCTATAGGATCCCCTGGGCGGTCTATAGGATCCCCTGTGGTTTAATATTTGTGTATCTGCTATATGGCGTTATATAGGATCCCCTGCTGTTTGTTCATTATGTTTTTAGTATAAGGCATTCTATAAGATCCTCTCGGCGGTCTATAGGATCCCCTGTTGTTTATTCATCATGTATCTATAACAGGGCGTTCTATATGATCCTCGGGGCGGTCTATAGGATCCCGTATTGTTTAATAGTTGTGTATCTGCTATAGGGCGTTATATAGGATTCCCGGGGCGGTGTATAGGATCCCGTTGTTTTTAAACATGTATCTACTTGACGCATATACTAGAGGGCGTTCTATAGAATCCCCTGTGGGGTTTATAGGATCACCTGTTTTTTAATAATCGTGTATCTGCTGTAGGGCGTTCTATAGGATCTCCGGGGCGGTCTATAGAATCACCTGCTGTTTGTTCATTATGTTTCTAGTATAAGTATCAACAACAGGGCGTTCTATAGGATCCCCTTGGCGGTCTATAGGATCCCCTATTGTTTAATAATCGTGCATCTGCTATAGTGCGTTCTATAGGATCCCCGGGTCGGTCTATAGGATCCCCCGTTGTTTGTTCAACATGTATATATTAGAGGGCGTTATATAGGATCCCCTGTGGTTTCATAATTGTGTATCTGCTATAGGGCGTTCTATAGGATCCCGGGGCATTCTATAGGATCCCGTTGTTTGGTGATCATGTATTTACTAGATATATCTACTAGAAGGCGTCCTATAGGATCACCTATTGTTTACTTATCGTGTATCTGCTATAGAGCGTTCTATAGGATCCCCGGGGCGGTCTATAGGATCCCCTGTTGGTTGTTCATCATGTATCTAAAACAGGGCGTTCTATGGGATCCCCTGGGCGGTCTATAGGATCCAGTATTGTTTAATAATCGTGCATCTGCTATAGTGCGTTCTAAAGGACCCCGGGTCGGTCTATAGGATCCCGTTGTTTGGTAATCATGTATCTACTAGATGTATCTACTAAAAGGCGTCCTATAGGATCTCCTGTGGGGTCGATAGGATTACCCGTTGTTTATAATCGTGTATCTGCTATAGGATCCCCGGGGCGGTCTATAGGATCCCCTGTCGGTTGTTCATCATGTATCTAAAACAGGGCGTTCTAATGGATCCACTAGGCGGTCTATAGGTCAAAGTACGGCCTTCAACACGGAGCATTAGCTCACACCGAAAAGTAAGTTTTAAAGGACTATAAGAACATATGCCAGACGATGGTCTTTATGATTTGTGTTGGTATTTAACTTTATGTTTAATTTCATTTTTTTAGAAAGATTATCCAATTCCTGTTAAAGAAAAATTATGGTCCAAACCAGTAAAAAGAAAAACTGTCCGGCAAGCATTATAATGAAGAAGTGACTTGCTTTCCTGATTTTAAGGTATAACCATATTAAGCGATATATAATGTCTTAGAATTGTTATCTACGCTGCTAAGCGATTTCCCCCTTACTATCATGTACCAGTCCAGTGCACATCTAAAAAAATGAATATTATGAGTCATGTCTGCCTTTTTATAACTAATTTATTTGATAATAAGTCCTTGGGTCGGTTAAGTAGTTATTAGAGATACATATATGTTTTTTTTAGCTTAATTCTATTATATTTTTGATTAATTACGAACGACAGTACATGTATAATTATCATCATTATTATTTTTTGAATTTTCATCTTTGTCCATCATTGGAAAAAAGTGTTTAATTTGATTTTGTTTTTACATAAGTCAGTACCATATTTTTTTAAAGATCAGGTATAAATTCCGTACCTGGTAAAGAAAAGAAACATGATTTCGCTTGATTTTTTCCCTGGTCAAGTGAGGCTGTATAAAACAGGGGTCCCTAAGTTTGCACACTGGGCTACTTAGGTAATTATAGAACATGAATTATTGAATAAAATATGTTTGATCTTATTAAAATAAATATGATTTAAAATTTAGTCTGTATATATTGATAAGTGTCAGCTATAAACACAATGTATACTTCCATTCATTTCGTTTCACTGTTTTATTTTGTTTCCAACAAGTGTATTTTAATTATTATTCAAGGGTACGTCTAGCCAAACATTACCTAAGTATTTTCAACAAAGCTTCTAACAAAAAATATTATATCAAAATTGTTATGAGGCAAAGGTCCTGTGAATTCTCTTGTTTAAATGAACCAACATAATTGTGTGACCAGATATTTCTACAGAAATACTGACCACCGTTAACTGATTAAGGAAGTAAGTGTTATCAACCATATTCATAATATGATCTCATTATATACCCAGATAATTAAGATCAACGGAATTTGTACAAGAAAACATATGTATATGTTTCAATTCAGAAGCTTTAGATATGTTAAATACTTACTATTTGTGAAAATGTAAATACATTATGATTGTTGTAAATCTCCGTCAAATAAGTAAACATCACTATAAGAAAATTGAAGTAATTCATTTTATCATATATTTTAGCAACCAATTTGTTCTTACAAAATTCGTTTATCTGGAATCCAAAAGAATGAAATTTGAAGTGTTAATTTCTTCGTTTTAAAATGCAAAAATATCTTCTACATATCTGAAAATTATATGAAAGTTCACGAATTAAGACATTTTACCATTTAACATTTACGTCACATCATAAAACATCTTAATAATCAAAATTTTGTCAATGATTTGTTTTTTACAATATTGAAAGTTTATTCGTGATTTAACTAATTACACTACCCTTTTTAGGTGAATATAGAAGATTATGACATTTTGTTAGGAGTTTTATGTGAGAACAACAATCATTGGTGTTTAATGGTAAGAAATCTAGCTTTTTATGTTATTGCATCAGAAGCATTGTGACATGAAGATGTTTGTTATTATTAAATCATTGTTCAGCAAATATTGAAGTAGGCCCTCTACAAAAGTTAAACATTTTTGAAAAAGTTATTGCGAAAAAGTGATAGCATCTATTTGATTGAACTTGTTTTCCAAATAGAACGCTACCTTTTTGGGAAGCTGTTTTTCTTATTCTTAATTAAACGTAAAATTTTGAGTGAAGCAAAGTAAAGTGCATATAGCTCTGGTTTTCATATTAAACTTACGTTGATGTTTACATTGTAGGTCATTTATCCACAATTTAGAGAGCTTCTGTATTTGAATTATCTCATTTTGGGCATTTCGACGAAAAGAAAAAGAGGTTTTACAACCAGATATTTACTTTAAAGCAACGGATACAATTATACAAAAAACGTCTGACAGTGGCAATGTTGTTTTAAAACCAAAACAATTAATTCTCCAAAATTGTAATTTTCATGTTTAGTTTAGGGGTGTTTATCAATTTTAAAACAATTTACAGTGAAATACGAACGATGATAACATTTTCATTTTTCCAAATCTTAGGTTATTCATATCTGAAAGACACAATAGGGGAATCAGACGCAATCCATCTTTCAGTTTGGAATGGAGTATTGTTACCAGGAAACACAGAAAACAATTAGATTCCTCATTATGCGGAGTTTTTACGTTGAAGGTAATATAATACATCTATTTCAGTTTTAATGTCAGGAATCAGACGTATGTTGGTTGGCGTCTGCTTGACTTGTAGTTCTGTGTTTCTGTTGCCCCGTTGTTTTCCTCTTGTAGTTTTTGTGTTTACTTTGGTTTAAGTTTATCGCCTGGACTAGTTTTTCTCTTAATCGAATTATGAATATAGAACAGTGGTATTCACTACAGTTGTCTACATTAAAGGGATATAGAAATATAGATGATTCCAACACTGCATCAAGTGTATTACGATATTTCTCTACTCGAAACAGTTAAATTTTCATTTACGATATACAGTGGCAGAATCTGTTTCTCGAATGATTTTTAAAAGAAATTTAAACACAGTTTGACCTTTCTTTCCAAAGATCAGCAAAAAGAAATGTTCTTTATATGTGCCTGTTTTCATTACGTCATTCTGTGGATTCATTATTATTCGTTGGATACCAATTTTGTGTATTTCGTGGGTACAGATGAACCACGAAATTAATTATTCAACGAATTACAAATTTCCTATAGACTTGTATACACATTATGGCTAAACGACGAAATTAAATATCCACGAACATGTAAGTTTTTCTTAATCCACGAAAATTGGTACCCACGAAAATAAATGAATCCACAGTAATAGAAAATTTGAAAGAAAGCAAGATTTAATGCCATAGAAATTCAACCAATCATTTGCCGAGAACAAATTTCTCTCTGTAGAGACTAGAAATATTTTTCTTACACCGGTCGGAAAATGTAAAAATACAAAAATATCACGAATATTAGAAGAAAAAAAAACAATCCTTTGAAAGTCAGACTCTTACTTTTATTCACGGTGTACTAAGACCAACTATTCCTTTTTTGGTATCGGCCAAATATTTAAACATTAATACATGTATTGCAATTTCTTCAGAAATTTATTTCAAAAAAATGTTTGGTTGATTTAACCCGTAAAATATGTACACCTTTATAAATCTCGTCTAAGGAACATGCTTTATAGCTCCGCTTACAAGTTTTGGTGTCAACATCATTCTCTTTGAATTGAATATTCTCGATTTATATATTTTCCAGTTGCAGAAAATGTTCTTACAGATAATGACTTTATGTTTGACTCATCAAAAAGGGCTATAAGAGCATCAAGACACATCATTGGACAAGTTCTTGTTGATAGCAGTGGTAAGTGTTGTATTTTCTCGGCATAATTATATTAAAATGCATTATAAAGTCAGGAATGTGACAATTGCTTTCCATTCGTTTGCTATGTTTCAACTTTTTGTTTTGCCATTTGATTACATTTTCATTTAGATTTTTTCCTTTAAGTTCAGTATGGTTATTTTACTTTATACCCATTGAGAAAAGAGTTTCATTTTTAATTCATGATAAGAAAAAGACTTCCATACCATATGAAATAATTCATTTATATGTCATAAATTTCAAATGTTCGTCTACGGTCATGAATTATTGTATTCATATGTCCACAACTAATGTAAAAATATCAATATAGCAATTTAAAGTTAAAGTTGAACATCTAAGAGGTTCCTTTACTTGATGTTAATCACTGATTTGCAGGCAATTATCATGAGATTTATTAAATTGTCGTAATAAATGAAACGTTTTTATTCTAGTTAAAGGATTATCACAACAACAGCAACCCAAGGCTATGCCCCCAAGACCTAAACTCAGGAAACCGAAATTAAAGGTAAAAGGATTCATAATACAATAAAAATGTACAGATAAATGTAATGGTTATTGACTTTTAGTGGGATATTGTCTAATTAATACTGATATTATTTATCATAGAGTATCTGAATTAAAAATAAAAAAATCTACGCCATGTTTACAAAACTCATCAGTGACACTCAAATCAAAATAATTCTAAGTCCAAATAAAGTATAAATTTAAGTTGAATAACATTTACATTGAAGAACGATAGAAGGTGGTCTTGTGATAAAATAACATTGGTTATTTTTTTGGAAATATCATGACAATTGACAAAAAACAAGGTACACAAAATACAAATAAACATAAATGTACACATGGCAACAAACAGCATGAAATTCACTGGGGTTGATCCAGATTATTGAACAGTAAATGCTTCTCAATTACACCTGTTATACTGTATTTCTGTATCTTTGTACCTTTAAACCTTATGAATAGATTTCCAATTAGATTTTTCATGTATTCCTTACACATTAAATTAAGGAAAAGGGCATTGAAACAGCTTCATCATCATGCACACAGGACATCCATTGGCTATTTATATCGGTGTCAGCAAAGGTGAGTTTATCTCATGATTATATATGTAACTGTATTCAGTTCTTCAGGGATACATTTTTTTATATGGTTTATAATAGTAATTAAGGTCTTTCCACTCCGTTAGGAAAGACCTTATTGTTTTTCTAATGTTTTTTTTTCTTTTTCTTTTTCTTTTTTTTTTTTTTCTTTTTTTTCTTCCAACATTTTTTTGGGAATGCCCTCCCCCCGTTTCTGTTGAAGTTATCAAGACCAAATATGGACCATCGATAAACCTCATCATGAAGTATTATCACATGACCCTGTTAAGGATTTCATCATCCCCTGTAGAAGTTATCTCCCTTTTATTGGATTTTTTCAACATGACCCCCTCTCGTTGTTTTTAAAGATATCATGACCTTATTTGTACAATAGGTAGATCTCATCATGATGTACTACCATATGAGGCTGCATAGGATTTCATCATCCTCTATGCGAGTTATATCCCCTTGAAGCAATTTCTTTCCTCTGCATTTTTCCGAAAAAAGTATTAGGGATAGAATCGATTTGAAAACAACACAGTGTACAGGAACTGATGACAATGACAATGAACATATAAAATAATTTTGTTATTGACCCTTATAAGGAGTTATTTCTCTTGAAAAAATATACACAATTTTTGAAAAATTGTATTTCGAGAACCGGAAGTCGTAGAGACTTGGGACCTACACCAATAATCTTAAGTTCATGTGATCTTCAATTTGCACCCAAGGTCAAAGGTCACAGAGTGCAAATAAAAATTACGCTGCAATTTCAAGCTTGCATATTAAGAAAACGATAAGAGTTTGCTGCATACATACTGTGTATAAAATGTTCCTCTCGACGAGCTCTACATTTTATACATTAAGCTCAAAAATGTCCGACTGTCTGTTCAAAAGTTACACTGACATAATTCTAAAAACTATAGTAACATATGTATATCTTTTTAAAGGTAACAGATATCAACCTTCTTTAAACTGGAAAGGTGATCAGTAATTCAAGACCTTCAATTTGAGGTCAAGATCAGGTCATGATGAAATTTAACCTTGACCTTCAGAGTGTACTTTGACCTTGACCTTGTGATATTTGAAAGGTCAAGTGGTCTTGAGTTGAATGATGGTAGTCTCATGTCTCTACGACTTCCGGTTCTCAAGTTTGGTATTGCATCATATATTTGATAATTCATTGTGACCTTACTGAACTTGGGAATTGTCCCAAATTTTTATACAATGTTGCCCTTCAACTGCAGATCATTTATCATTTAACAGATTTGAGATATCTATTGTCGTTTTAGAGATAATGCAGTTTGAAGTTTTGCGAGCGGAGGCATGTATTTCTGAATCAACAACAGCTTTCCACCTGAAATTTTCAGAAGATGAAGAGTTTAACATGGTTATATGTTTGACTAATTACCAAAAACTTTCAATGAAAAACTAAAAAAAAAAATCAATTTGAAATTTTCATCTTTTACATTGACTTTGTAAGTTTCATAAGTTCTATTTATATAATTGATATTGCATCATTTTTGGCTCTTTGCCAAATGCGGTCATTATGTATATCAAATTGAATGTCTAAATGAGCTCTACTCAAAAATGAAAATTTCAAACCCCTTTTCCATCCCAGTGGGAAGGGTGGGGTTATTAAGTGCAAACAATTCAAACTTCTCAGATGGTTAGGTTGTCGCATATCAAATGAAAGTCCATAAAGCGTACATTTTAAATATCAAATTGACGTCCCCAAAAAATGGGTTTGGTGGGGTCATTGAGTGCAAAACATAAATTTTCTTTTAAGATAAGGTTGTTGTATATCAAATGAAAGGTCGTAACGTGTACATTTCAAATATCAGATTCCTGTCCTCAAAAAATGAGTTGGATGGGGTTATTAAGTGCTAAAATCAAACTTTCTAGAACATGGCGTTGTCGCATATCAAATGAAAGATCATCAAGTCTACATTACATATATCATACTTCCGATCTCGAAAATTAAGGCGGATGGGGTCACTAAGTGTAAAATGCGAAAAGTTTCATAAGGTATGCTTGTCGTATATCAAATGAAAGGTCGTACAAAGTACATTACGAAAACATCACTTTAAAAGGAAAGACCTTTCAATTGTTTTACAAACAATTGAGATACTAGTTAAGGTCTTTCCACTCCGTTAGGAAAGACCTTATTGTTTTTCTAATGTTTTTTTTTTTTCTTTTTTTTTTTTTTTTTTTTCTTTTTTTTCTTCCAACATTTTTTTGACATGCCCTCCCCTCGTTTCTCTTGAAGTTATCAAGACCAAATATGGACCATCGATAGACCTAATCCTGAAGTATTATCAGATGACACTGTTAAGGATTTCATCATCTCCTTCGGAAGTTATCTCCCTTTTATTGTTTTTTTTCAACATGTTCCCCCCTCGTTGTTTTTTAAGATATCATGACTTTATTTAGACAATAGGTAGATCTCATCATGATGTACTACCATATGAGGTTGCATAGGATTTCATCATCCCCTATGCGAGTTATATCCCCTTGAAGCAATTTCTTTCCTCTGCATTTTTCTCAAAAAGTATTAGGGATAGAATCGATTTGAAAACGGCAACATGTACAGGAACAGATGGGAATGTTAATGAACATATAAAATAATTTCGTTATTGACCCTTATAAGGAGTTATTTCTCTTGAAAAAATATACACAATTTTTGAAAAATTGTATTTCGAGAACCGGAAGTCGTAGAGACTTGGGACCTACACCAATAATCTTAAGTTCATGTGACCTTCAATTTGCACCCAAGGTCAAAGGTCATAGAGTGCAAAAAAAATTTACGCTGCAATTTTAAGCTTGCATATTAAGAAAACGATAAGAGTTTGCTGCATACATACTGTGTATAAAATGTTCCTCTTGATGAGCTCTACATTTTATACATTAAGCTCAAAAATGTCCGACCGTCTGTTCAAAAGTTACCACGAGAAAATTCTTTAAAGAATAGTTTTTTGTGCATATCTTTTAAAAGGTAACAGATATCAACCTACTATAAACTGCAAAAATGATCAATATTTTAAGACCTTCAGTTTGAGGTCAATGTCAGGTCATGATGAAATTTTACCTTGACCTTCAAAGTGTACTATGACCTTGACCTCGTGATATTTGAAAGGTCAAGTGGTCCTGAGTTGAATGGTGGTAGTTGCATGTCTCTACGACTTCCGGTTCTCAAGTTTGGTATTGCATCATATATTTGATGATTCCTTGTGACCTTGATGAACTTTGGAATTGTCCAAATTTTTTTACACAATGTTGCCTGACAATTGCAGATCATTTATCATTTAACAGATTTGAGATATCTGTTGTCGTTTAAGAGATAATGCAGTTTGAAATTTTTCGAGCGGAGGCATGTATTTCTGAATCAACAACTGTTTACCACCTGAAATTTTCAGAAACTGAAGAATTCAACATGTTTGTATGTTTGATTAAATACCAAAAACATTCAATGAAAAAAAACTCCAAAAAATCAATTTGAAATTTTCATGTTTTGCATTTACTTTGTAAGTTTCATAAGTTCTATTTATATAATTGATATTGCATCATTTTTGGCTCTTTACAAAATGGGGTCATTTGATATATCAAATTGAAGGTCTTAACGAGCTCTACTCAAAAATGAAAATGTTAAACCCCTTTTATATCCAAGGGGGAAGGGTGGGGTCATTTAGTGCAAACAATTCAAACTTCTCAGATGGTTAGGTTGTCGCATATCAAATGAAAGTCCATAAAGTGTACATTTCAAATATCAAATTGACGTCCCCCAAAAATGGGTTGGGCGGGGTCATTGAGTGCAAAAAATAAAATTTTATTTCAAGGTAAGGCTGTTGTATTTCAAATGAAAGGTCATAACGTGTACATTTCAAATATCAGATTCCTGTCCTCTAGAAATGAGTTGGATGGGGTTATTAAGTGCAAAAATCAAACTTTCTAGAACATGGCGTTGTCGCATATCAAATGAAAGATCATCAAGTCTACATTACATACATCATACTTCCGATATCGAAAATTAAGGCGGATGGGGTCATTAAGTGTAAAAAGCGAAAAGTTTCAGAAGGTATGCTTGTCGTATATCAAATGAAAGGTCGTACAAAGTACATTACGAAAACATCACTTTAACAGGAAAGACCTTTCAATTGTTTTACAAACAATTGAGATACTAGTTGGAAACATATTTTATGTTTACCTATCAAACATTGCTTTTTAGGGATACCCGTTATTTATTATTTAGACCATATCGAGTTTACCTAGTGGCTTTCATAATCTTGACAGATATCTCCTTTTAATTTGGAAGACCTATATTTCTGTTTTATGCATATGTATATAATTTGTTAAAACTATAACTGATTTTATAAGCGGCTGTAATACAAGTTAGAGGTTAAGCTAGCTTTAAAACCAGGTTTAACCCATCATTTTCTGCAATTGAATGCCTGTACTAAGTCAGGACTATGACAGTTGTTTCCATTCGTTTGATAAGTTTGAGCTTTTTGTTTTGCCATTTGAGTAAGGATTTTCCATTTTAAATTTTCCTTGATGTTCGGTATATTTGTTATTTTACTTATTACAGACATGTTTACAGTGTCAAAGTCTGACTAGTGCCATGTGTGATGATTTTGACACAATGCCAATGACTATCACCAGAGGATTCTCTTCATGGGTTTAAATGAAACTGTCACTGTTAGTAGTTAAAGTGACATTAAAGAAACCAAATGATTCTAAATTTAGTAAGTTTAATTATGTTATCCCTTTCAAAGGGTGGGGGGCATATTGTTATTGTTCGTTTCTTTGTTTTCATCATCATCTTTTTCCCCATAACTTTATTGTCCCGGCAAGTTCTCGGAAAAGGATAGACACATTCATCTTTATGGAATTATGGCATAATGTAAACCACCATATAAAGTTGTGCTTTTTTAATAAGGAGATGGTCCAAGATGGTCGCGATTACTATAAACTCTGGTCAACAGTATTTTTTATGTTTTTTGTATATAATTCTAGTATGCCTGAGCATAGAACAATGATATTCAATATACAAAGTAGGTGTCAACAATTTGTATGGTCCTCAGAACTACATAGCAGTAGGGAGTTGTGTTTTTTGAGTATGGATTTTTTTTTTCAAAATTGCTGACGTAAACCTAGCAATGGCAAGGTCGTCTGGCAACTTGACAACTGTATAACATCCGCCATTGCTTGCAATGGCAATTATAGTTGTTTTCGTATGCTTATAGATTTGTACAAAAAGGAGAAAAGAAATTGACCCCGTCTTTTAATATCACTTTCCGATATATTGATGATGTACTGTCTCTAAATGATAATAGATTCAGTGATCTATGGCAAGCCGTTTTTCTATTTATTCTAACTTCAAGATATCTCATATAATATATACGATATTTCATATGATATATAAGATATCTGTCTCATATAATATATGAGATATTTAATATAATATATAAGATATCTCATATAGTATATAAGATATCTTATATAATCTAGTTTTATTAAGATATCTTATAAACTTAAAAAGATAGCTTATATACTTTATAAGATATCTTATTAATTTTATAAGATATATTATATACTTTAGAAGATATCTTATAAACTTTAGAAGATATCTTATAAATTTAAGAAGATATCTTATAAAGTATATAAAATATCGTATAAACTATGGAAGATACCTTACAAAGTATATAAAATATATTATAGAGTTTATAAGATATCTTATAAAGAAAATTATAGAAGATATCTTATAAACTGAAGAAGATATCTTATAAAGTATATATAAGATATCTTAAAAAGTATATATACGATATCTTATAAAGTATATATAAGATTTCTTATTAAGTATATATAAGATATCTTATAAAGTATATATACGATATCTTATAAAGTATATATAAGATTTCTTATTAAGTATATATAAGATATCTGATAAAGTTTATAAGATATCTTATAAACAATTTTTAAATAAGATATCTGATATACTTGATAAGATATCTCAAACAGTTTATAAGATACCTTATATAGTTTATAAGATATCTCATATAGTTTATAAGATATCTCGTATAGTTTATAAGATATCTTATTAAAAAAATATAAATAAGATATGTTATAAAAAAATATAGATAAGATATCTTATAAACTAATATCTTATTAGAAAAATATATAAACTATATGAGATATCTTATAAAGTTAATTAGAGATCTTGAAGTTAGAATAAATAGTAAAACGGCTTGCCATAGTGATCACTTACATTTAATATATCAAAATTATTGAAAATAAAGATACTTCCGACACAGATAAATCTGTTTCATATTTACACCTTTTTCTTGAAATGACTACTGATGATAGGTTAAATACCAAAAGTGTGTCGGAATTCATATCATATACTCTTCCGCAGTCATAACAACCTTTCATTATTACCGGACTGAACAGGGTGTCGTATACAGTGCAGGGAATGTTTACCCTACCCGAGCACCTTATAACACTCCTGGTTTTAGTTGAGTTCGTGTTGGTTCCTATTTATTTATAGTTGTTGTGAATGTCTTTTGGTTTTATGAGTCTTTGTTAACTTCTTTGTTTTGATAGTTATTGTCTTCCTTTAAGGGCATTAGTACTGGAAAAGATTGTCTAAGGTAGGGACATTGATAAGATTTTAAGATAATTGATACATTTTTTGAGAATTTATGTTTGTGATTTTATAATGAAAGATCATTTGTTTTACCTATGTACTTTTTTCTTATACAGTTTGATGTCCACGTCAAACACAAACTGAAAGAGGTCATAGAAATGACTGAACTTCAAGGAAGTGCTAGGTGAGCTTTTCATAATTTAAATTTAGATCATATATATGAATGAAAAAAGGTTTAATAGCTTTTCAAATAAAAACTATATGTTATCGTTATGTATCATATACTTTTCAACTATAAATAGAATGAATAACAGCTAGCACAAATATCCAAAGAAATGCCGTACTTCGACCTATACTTGTTAACTTTAAATACATTGTGACTTGGATTGAGCGTTGTCTCATTGGCACTCATACCACATTTTTACTGTTAATGAAAATATCTGATCTTATATTATCTTATCTTATCTTTTTATTTATATAAACACTACATACAGCTATTACAGTGCACATTGGAGGCATATACGGTGGATTACCGGTACTTCATTAGCAAAGCATATGGAAATGAGGGAAGACACAGCTGGGATATGCGAAAGACAGAACATATTTGGAAATACTGTAAATATAAATATGTCTAATCTTAACTATTGGTTCAATACTTTTTAGTTTTTTAATACGTAATTCATTCAATGATGTAATTTATCTTCTATCTATATGCTGACACTGCAAGAAGGACAATAATCCTTTAAACATGTTAAATGATCTGCAATTTTATGAAAGAAAATATGTTGAAGATGACTAGAATTGTGTCAATTTTATGGCCACAGGTCTAATTAACTTGGGTTTTTATTTTTTTTAAGTTTAAACTGATTTGCAATTATTTGTGTTGTATGTCTGTAAACTACTATTACAAGTAAGATGTATGAGAGTCAATCACTGATGACCCTTTCTTCCTATTGAGGAAAAATAGGTTAAAATATTATCCTGATATTAAAACCATTCAACATCGTAGCAATACTTCTCTTATACATGTATCATTTTCTCTTTCAAATAGACAATGGAACTAAAATGAATCCACTTTAAAGATGTTCTTACCCTGTTTTCAAAATATAACTGATCATTTTACATAATGCTTTCAGGCAGGCAAAGAGGTGTATGCCTTGGTACTCGCCGAGTTTTCGGAATGGAAAATTAAATCAATACAGTAAGTATGAACAGTTTTTTTAAATTTTAAAACTCGTGTATATTTCAATCAAGTTTATAGTCTATAACAATTCATGATTAAAGTAGATAAGGTACATATCTTCCAGGTCATTTTAAGTCCTTTTCAGCAGTTGCATTGTTTTTCTGTGTTATATTTTAAGGCGATTGGGATTTACACATAGACACTATTTGACAGTCAAAGACAGTATCAATAATTCCAAGCTACAGGCAACACCAGACAAAATGTAAGTGATTTCAATAATATTAAGAATTAAAGTCTACTACTGATTTATCAGTTAGAAAGTGTTTCCTTTAAGTTTTATTGTAAGGAATTATCTTTGTATTCCAATTGGCTAGAAAGCTAGTTTTATGAAGATATATTTCAAAGTGAAGCAATATTGTAGGGTGCTTGGACATTGATGATATTAATATATGATCTATATCAATTTATTTATGACAAAATTGGAATTTAATTTGATAAATGGACTTGGTGTTAGTTACATTTTATATACATGTATTCCCTCATGTCGTTAAGGTATTATGTGTCAAACATCTTGAGAATGATAATTTAGAACTTGATATTATTCCATTATAATTCTTAAATGATATGCATATTAGGGAATACGTTCATATGATTGGTCGAGAAGGCTTCCGGTAGTCACTCTTGAAGTTTTTAATTTATTTTTCGATAAACGACGTTGACAGAACTACCTTTTTGTCATCAATGGAAACAAGATGGCAGCGAAAATAAGACCGGCTCGACGTCAAAAATACCTATTTGCACTAATCTCCAATTTTAAAGAATTATAAGGATTAAACGCCTTTTAAAAGGAACTTATTGGTGTATAAACTGGACCAAGTCACTCACAAACATATCACAAAAGTCCGAATCACAAAAGTCCTTCGGACTTTTATTAGTTTGTGAGTGAATTGGTCCAGTTTATACACCAATAAAACGCCTTTTAAAAGGAATTTATTGGTGTATAAACTGGACCAAGTCACTCACAAACATATCACAAAAGTCCTTCGGACTTTTATTATTTTGTGAGTGAATTGGTCCAGTTTATACACCAATATATTCCTTTAAAAAGGCGTTTCATCCTATACAATATTTTTTTAAATGTCCCACTTAATACTTACACAAAAAACAAGTCCATATTACTTAAAGAGGTAATAAAAACATGAGCCAATTAATAGTAATGTTTGAGAGGCGACCAAAATGATAAATATCTCATTTACTTTAAAAAGGTTATTTTTTAACTTATTAAAATAAAATGTAATATAATGTAAGATTTTAATATATTTGAAACATCATTTACAGTATGAAATGTCTGAACTTTCAAATATATTGATGAGGATGTTACCACATAATCATTTAAATTGAGAATGGAAATGGGCAATGCGTCAAAGAGACAACAACCCGACCAACGAGCATAAAACAGTCCAAGGCCACTAATGGATCTTCAACACAGCGAAAAAATCCCGCCCCCGGAGGCGGGCTTCAGCAGCTCCCTAAGCAAAAATGTGTACCAGTTCATTTAAAATGGACGTCACCCTAAATTCTGAAACATATAAATGAACTAAAATGTTAAAAACATACAAGACTTAAAAGACCAGAGGCTCATCATTATGGATAGGCGCAAAAAGCGGTGGGTTAGACATGTTTTGTACGATCTCAACCTTCCCACTTAACCTTTAGCCAATGTAGACATATATAACTACAACGTCTGCAATTTTTGAGTGTCACTTCCATAGAATAAATTATGGGGTCCCTAACAATTTTTGACTCTGCAGCGGCCCAAAAGAACCTACTCTAAACGAAATCTGCAGAAGTGGTCTCATGAATATTTCTTGGAGTTAGGTATTTTTGTTATCTACTTTTTACATGCACATGGCGTGACATGTCCCTGTACATGGGGCCATCCGACGGACGATTAACCTAGTTACATATATGCATATATATATATATATATATGCATATATATATATATATATATATATATATATATATATATATATATATATATATATATATATATAGCAAACTTGAAGATTTGAAGTTTTGCGAAATACGAATTATCATTTTCACATTTTTATAGGATGTCTCAGAATATGAACAGTGGTACAAGATATTTCAAAGATGTTTTGTTTGTGGAAGCTGAAATCTTAGTTGTTTCTCACAAGAAGACAACTGTACCTGAAGCTGACAGGCTACTTCATCCTTTGCCGAGTTTGAAACGCTAATTCCTATAACTGCTAATTAACTGATGGATACTTAATGATGAACACAATGAAACCTGTGATGTTTTTTATGTGGTTTATTTGTTTTTAGAATATTCGTTTAATGGAACTACTGATTCAAAATTCAACCATATTGTAATTTTTAGGATTTCCACGAAAATACTCTGATACACAAATACAAAATAAGGTGTATGAAGGAAAACATGTAACCTTTGTCAATGATTTCTGTCAACCGGCCAAGTTTGTATGATAAAATATTATGAAATATGTAATAAAAGTACGAATCATATTAGTAGATATAAGCTATATCAATTTCACTGATTCACTTTATAATTATAAATAATTTAATCAGATTGTTTTTATTTTTCAAATTAAAACCTTTTGTTTTTGTCGTGTATCATGCAGTGTTTTAGAAATAGAATAAATACATGAATATTGGATCAAAGCTTTATATCCCAATAGGTTGTGGTTGCAGTATTTTTTTTCACTAAATAGTAGAATTATGTCATGTATTTTGCAATTCTGTTACAAATGAGTAATCTATTCAAACAAAGGTGCTATCTTTATTTTACTTTAATAAAGTATTGATACATATTGTAGTTGATTAGTTTCACAAAGGGACAACTTTTCATAGTAAAACAAAAGGATATGGAGTAAATGTACATGGGACAAAATCTCACAAAATATATAGAAAGGATACAAATTATCAATAATCCGGTTTTTTTTTATTCCTGTTCTTCATCTTGACAGTCGATTTATTGTCTTCAACAATGAACAAATCATTCATACCCTACAATGAGGTCAAGACGGCCCCTAGCGTCCACTTAAGCAGTACTTTTGATAAAAAAACACAGTTCACCTTCTTGCTCCCCACCCACCTCGTAGTGCCAACTTGTGCGATGCTCGTGTACAAAGATTCTTCAGACAAAAGCACCAGGGATACAATTACCGATGCTCATGTGAAACCAGAAAGCAAAGTGAGTTAAAATTGCAATTCCAGATGATTTTACTCAATTTCTCGGCAGATTGTCCTATCGGATCCTATAGAACGTCCTGTAATAGCTATATCATATACCAACAGCAAGAGTTCCTGTAGAACGCCCTATAACAAATTCATAATGTAAAGATAAAAGGGGACCCTGTAGACCGCCCAGGGGATCCTATAGAACGCCCAGTAGTAGATACATTATAAACAAACAATAGGGGATCCTATAGAAAGCCCTATCTTAGATGCACAATTTGCAAACAACAGGGGATCCTGTAGAGTGTCCTATAGTGGATACATGATAAACAAGCAATAGGGGATCCTATAGAACGGACTATAGTAGATATATAATGTTCAGACAATAGGGGATCAAGTAGACTGCCCAGGGGATCATGTAGAACGCCCTATAGTATAAACATGAAAACCAAACATTAGGGGTCCTATAAAATGTCCTATAGTAGATAAATAATGTTCAGAAAACATGGGTTCCTGTAGACCGGCCAGGGGATCCCGTAGAAAGCCCTGTAGTATTTACATGATAAACAAACAACAGGGGATTATACAGAACGTTCTATAGTAGATACATCAAAAACAAAAAAACAGGGCATCCTATAGAACGTTAAATAGTAGATACATCATAAACAAAGAACAGGGGATCCTATAGAAGGTCCTATCCTAGATGTATAATTTTCAAACAATAGGGGATCCTGTAGACCGCCCAGGGGATCCTGTAGAACGCCCTATAGTATATACATGAAAAACAAACAACAGAGGATCCTATAGAACGTCTTATAGTAGATATATAATGTTGAGAAAACAGGGGATCCTGCCGACCGCTAAAGGGATCCTAAAAGCCCTATAGTATATACATGAAAAACAAACAACAGTCGATCCTATAAAACGTCATATAGTAGATATATAATGTTAAGACAACAAGGGATCCTATAGACTGCCCTTGGGATCCTGCAGACCGCACAAGTGATCCTGCAGACCACCCAAGGGATCCTATAGAAAGCCCTCTAGTAAATACATGATAAACAAACAACAGGGGAACCTATAGAATTTCCTGTCTCTGATGCATAATTTTTTAACAAAAGGGGATCCTGTAGAACGCCCTATAGTATATACATGAAAAAACAAACAACAGGGGATCCTATAGAACGTCTTATAGTAAATATACAATGTTGAGAAAACAGGGGATTCTGCAGACCGCCCAAAATATCTTAAAAGCCCTAAAGTATATACATGAAAAACAAACAACAGGGGAACCTATAGAAGGTCCTATCTCAGATGCATAAAATTTTAAACAACAGGGGATCCTGTAGACCGTCCAGGGGATCCTGTAGAACGCCCTATAGTATATACATGAAAAACAAACAACAGGGGATCCTATAGAACGTCTTATAGTAGATATATAATGTTGAGAAAACAGGGGATCCTGCCGACCGCCCAAGGGACCCTGAAAGCCCTATAGTCTATACATGAAAAACAAACAACAGTCAATCCTATAAAACTATAAAACGTCCTATAGTAGACACATAATGTTCAGACAACAGGGAATCCTATAGACTGCCCTGGGGATCATGCAGACCGCCAAAGGGATCCTGCAGACCGTCCAGGGGATCCTGTAGAACGCCCTGTAGTATATACATGAAAAACAAATAACAGTCGATCCTATAGAACGTCCTATAGTAGATATATAATGTTCAGACATCAGGGGATCCTGTAGGACGCCCTATAGTATATACATGAAAAACAAACAACAGGGGATCCTATAAAACGTCCTATAGTAGATATATAATGTTCAGCCAACAGGGAATCCTATAAATCGCCCAAGGGATCCTAAAGAAAGCCCTATAGTATATACATCATGAACAAACAACAGGGGAACCTATAGAAGGTCCTTTCTCAGATGCATAATTTTTAAACAACAATGGATCCTGTAGAACGCCCTGTAGTATATACATGAAAAACAAATAACAGTCGATCCTATAGAACGTCCTATAGTAGATATATAATGTTC